GAAGCATTTCCTTCATCCTTGATTATGTAATGGACTATTTGCCGGCAACATACTTCCTGGAATTGTTTGATGGTGTAATGATCAGTTAATAGGACAAGGTCTTAAGTTTGGGGGTTTATTATGCTAAAAAGTAAACAGAGTGAGTAAAGGTCCTTGCGAGTACACTAATACAAATATGTGCGTGAAGGCATGGCATGCACTCCTTATGTCACTGTACAGAACATCTGTGTCTCCATACATGTGTTCATGCCATGGGTGCATCTAGCGAGTGTGTGTTTGTTCTGTTCACTCATTGTGTGCATGTGAATGTGTATGTGTGTGTCTGAATCTTTAATGCAGAGAGCCTAATCTTTATTTAATCACAAACTATTCCGAGTGCTTCCCTGACAGAGACAAGTGGGAGGGTTTTAGAGAAGAATACAGCGGAGTGGATGTTTGGTTGGCGGTGTCGGGTTGCCGGGTTTGGGGGTCCAGAAGTGTATTAGCACCCCACTGGCAGCTGAACACTTTGATTGGCAACCCACAGTTTCCACGATGACAGAGAAGCTTTCTGAATGGGGCCGAACCAACATGAAAGGGCAAATAGAGTGTAGAGTCAACACACACATACACACAGAGGAAAATTAAATCTCAGAGGTTTGTGATGCATTTGCAAAGAAGCCAGCCTGTTAAACTTGGCCAACTTGTGCTGTATCCACAATGCCTGCAGGAAAGAGAAGCTTGCTTAGCTACATTTTCTTAGCCTATTTGATTGTGTGGTCAGCCATAGTTATGTAAACTTGCCACCGTAGGAACAGTGGTTGCATAACCTGCGAAACGTGCCACAACATAACCATGCGTACGTAATAGGTGCGCTCCGATACATAAACGAACAGCACTACATCTCTGCCAGCAGCTGTCAGTCAAATCCAGACCTGCATAGCCATTGACTCTCCAATAAACTGAAAATGTTCACTTATTGGGCTGCTGTTTACTAACTCTACTGTAGATAAAGCTCAATAAAGTCCCAATAAAAATGACACTGAAAGTTAATTTACCATACCATCTAATAATCAATATCCCCATGTGAGAAGGAGATAACTCTGTTGTTCTGCACCATGTGTGAGTCTTTATTATAGATTTTTATAGGACAGCTCCTGCTACTGAAATAAGGTGTAATAACCTCACCAGATGAATCTCAGATGATAATTAAAACCACCTCATTTTAATTATACAGTATCATATCGCTTTCATTCAAATGCAAATTCCACTCCTCAATATTGTTTCACTGAGAGATTTGCATCTCTCAAACACAAATGACAGGATTACATTATTATCAAACAGTAACAGCTTTGTTGCAATGAAAAGAAAGACAGGAGCCTGGCATTGGCAAACGTCTATGTCCAATCTTCATTAAAACTCCACCTTTCTCTTACACAGTGTGGAGAAAAACATAATGTGTTTTATTAAGAGTTGATGGATTTGGCTGTAGCCTGACTAAAAAGCCCTTTGTGAAGAGACATTTTGCTTTGGAAGGTTCCTAACTAAGTGAAAGGACCTGGAAGTATTTCAGTGGCAGCCATGATAAGAGCTGTTCGAATTCTCTAAATGCTAAGGAAAGGAGCTTCAATTGTTCATTTTTTATCTCCTTTAGCAGGGGATACTATGGACCATCCTTTAGATACGAAAGGAGATAATGCCGTCCCACAATTCCTTGCAGCAGCAACATTTAAAAAGCCGCCCACTTACAAATACAAACAACCAAGTAGTAGTATTAGAAGATTATGATATGTATAGTTGCAGATTTGTATGACTGGTAGCCTGTACATGAACCAACATGGTAAAAATGCAGAGTCTACGTATCTAAAAATCACTTTTTATAGTCCATCTTCAGAACGTTGTAGTTCCATCGCAGCAGACACACATCATCAACATCTGCCATCACGTAATTACGTAGCGTAGCAAAGTTCAGTCGGATTCTCTCAGCACCGCGGTTGTCTTTTCCTGAGTCCTTAAGAATTCTCCTTTATGTCTTTACTTGACCTCAGGACGTTTCCCATTGAGGTCAAGGAAACATGTGTAGAATACGACATAGGACCTACTTTTTTTGACAATTCAACCAGACCCTTGGATTTGTGTTTTCCACCATCTTTTCCAGTTACTTGAGCTATAAAATCTTAATTTGGGCAAAGGGGTGAAGCCTTTGGAGTAGTGGTGCTACTGGTGGTGGTGATGCTTCAGCATTTTTTATTTTTTATTTTTTTCAGCTTTTGGCTACGGTGATGGCTGCCAGATACACACACATACACACACAGAGTGATAGCATCAGTAAAAGGTCTCTTAGGGGAAACAGAATGGCTTTTAGTTTCCCCTTTAAAAACAGAGTCAGCTTGTCCTTGTTTCCCTGTACTGTACCCATTACGCACGTGTCTGCTGTGTGTGCTTTGATGTGTGTGTGTTTGTTTGTGTGTGTGTGTGTGTGTGTAAGGGAGGGGATGCTGTCATCTTCCTACAGGATCATTGGATCCTCTCCCACTCTGTGTCTACCGCTGCAGAAATCCTCCCATCTGTCGCTCCTAATCAGCAGAGAGCAGCTTGCATGTTCACAGGGTCTTATAGTGCGATGACATCTCTCTTTCTCCCTCTCTCTCACTCTCTCTCCAACACACACACACACAAACACAGGCGCACACACACACAGAGATTACTAACACTGACACAGCAAAGCAAACTGCAGCATCACATGCCCTTCTGGCCGTTAGCAAACCAAACACCATACTTTTCTTTCTCTGTTCAATTCTTTTCAAAGCAAGAGCTCTTTTAAAGCTGCGCTAATCTTTTTTGGTTAACTTTTTTTATGGGTTATGTAAAAGGTGTCACTTTTAGTGACAAACCCACAGAGAATTATCACCCAACTCTGCAGTTCTATGCATGTTGTAGTGTCTTTAAGCTCATTGTTTTGGATTTGCAACCCCCAGCTTTACTGTTTTGGTTCAGGTTGGTTTTGCATTTAGCAGCTAAAGAGCCAATTATTTCCCTCAGGACATTAATTCCAGAAACACAACTCTAAATAAATGCTAGCATTGTTGTTGTTAGATTCTAAATAGACAATTGTTTGATAGCATGTTAGCTATTGTCAACTTAGACAAAGCTGATAATATGCTAGTATTGTGTTTACAGCTTGTTATGCTGCTCCCAAGTGGCCAAAGAAATTTATTAACACAGATAACACAGAGAGGTAAACAACTAGTTTTCACAACTGAAATCTAGTGTAACACAGTGTGTCTGAAAGGTTTAATTAGTTTTTTGTAAATGTGGATTGATCTTCAGATCAATTATTTCATTTAAAAAGAACAACATGCATGGTGCTTCCTCCTGCAATAAGTTTCTATCAGGTAACTGTTATCAACTTTATCAATCCGCCATTAATCAGTACAAACATGACACTTCCTTGCAATTAAATTCAAGTAAAATATGCTGTCTTTTTGGATAGCAGTCTAATCATCTGGTATTTTGATACAACGTAATGTCTTATACTGGCCCAGAAATCCCAGCTGCTGGCCAAGTGCTTGCTGAGTCATCAGCATTGATCAATAACCCTGCCTGCCCGCTGCAGATATCATATGGTCATCATGTGCTGCGGCGCAGAAATAAACCATACTTATTTTCAATTTGAGTTAGATTCTTTGTGGGATGTTTTGTGCAACTAGCGATGCAGTCGGTTTACATGAGATTTCCTAAGAGCCTAAAAAATCCCTGCAGCACAAATCTAACAATAGCTGCTGTATCACAAGACCTCTCCGAGGTATTTGCGTATTGTAGCATGGGGAAGATAAAAATAGCACTTTCTGTCTCTCCCTCTCTTCATCTCTCTGTATCCATCCATCCAGTGTAACTGTTAATCTCATCCTCCGGGCATAGATAACAGACACTGTGGACCAAGTCTGACGAGAGAGTGGAGAGACAGACGAGAGAAGACAGGAAAAACAACGTGTGGGACAGAGAAGTAGAAAGAGGCAGACAGAGACGAAGGGTCAGTTAGAAAGAAGTATTGGGACAGAATTAAAAGAGTTTAAAATATCCAGTAGCTACAATGGAGTCTGGTAGAAGTAAACAGGCTTATTTCAAGAGGAGCCATAATCCACCAATGGTCAACAATCATACACAGTCCTAGCCTGAGAACCACACGAATCTGCCGAGTTCATGATGTGTCATTTGTTGTGGTAGATTTGCAAAGTAGTCTGATTAACACATTCCAGGAGAGAATGGCAGTTTTTTGACAAAGGAGAGTGATTTTTGCTATTTCTAGAGTGAATCCAAGAACTTATTACAAGTAAACATCCATTTTCTGTGGTTTCTTAGAAGAGAACCTAGGCAATGTTTAAAGTACACACCACTGGAAGTGTTTCTGTCAGAGTGCTCAAGTTTGCTCTATATTGAGCAGTAAATTGAGATTTCTGACATATAAATCACAATTCATCATTCAATCATAAATAACAGCTGTAGAACGGTAATTTTCACATTCACACTATTATATGCAACACGTTTCATTGTGGAATTGTTAGCAAATATCTGATATTTTTGAGGGCAATATATGGAGCATAAATCTGACACTCAGAATTCAGACACTTTAATAAAATGGCAGACTGCAAATATAGTGCACTATATCAGTGGTTTCCAAGTTAAGATTTTGTTAACCTTTTGACAGAGCCAGGCTAGCTGTTTTCCCCTTGTTTCCAGTCTTTGTGCTAAGCTAAGCTAACTGACTGCTGGCTCCAGCTTCATATTTACTCCCCACTGAGTGGTATCAATCTTCTCATCTGACTCTTGGCAAGACAGCCAATAGGCATATTTCCCAAAATGACAAACTCTACAACCTCTACGCATTATATTTTCATAACCACGATTAGCTCTCACAAATCAAAACCACCAACCTTCCCTATTTATGTCCTTAGCTCTCAATCACAAGGTGTTTCGTCGATCAGTGAAGTGACCTTCTGCTTTGCCTCCTCTCTCCTCAGGTCTGTCCTGCGTCCCTGTCCTGCCACCACGCCGGGGTTCTTTCTACGTGGAGAGCGGCACAGGCGTGTCAATCGGTAGCGTGTTGGCCTTCTGGTGCAGAGAGGGATACCAGCTGGTTGGCAGTGACAAAATCTACTGCAATGTCAGGAACGGCAAACCGCAGTGGAGCAACTACCTGCCTGTGTGTGAAGGTAAGCAGGTTTAAGCAGGTTTATCTGGGGAAATCAAGCAGATTTTCAGCTTCTCTTTACAATTACCCATGTTCCAAATGACCAATCTTCTTAAGCGAGTAAGTTCACAGCAACCGTTGTGGTTTCCTGCATTCGGTATGAGCTACGCCTGCAATGGTTGAACAAGTTCTCATTTCTCATGTCTGGTTATGCGTGAAATCTGGTTGGAGCTCGCATGTAAAGCCTCACTGGGGAACTTGCACAGTACCTTTTCATGCTCAGGGAAGATGTCAACCCTTTTCCTCTAGTCTTATCAACTTCTCGCTGACTGGAGAGAGGGAATAGGACAGAACCTTTAGTACATCAAAAACGTACTGCACAAGGAAGATCACCTTTATCAATAGAGAAGAGTATATAAAAAAAAAATACACAAATGGTTGCTTTTTCGATTCCTTTTCCTGGAACATTTTGTTTTTGTCCATTGGTTAAATTTGTAATCACGTATTTACTGTTTACTGTTCTGAAATTGTGCCATGCACTGCCGAACAGATCCTTGTTCTTAGTGGATAAATATACACCTTTTGTGTTTAATCATCCTCCAGGACCAGAGTACCAAATATTCAAATTCAGGTGGCGGCTGAAAACAATTTACAGGCCACTACTGAACACTGACATGTCAGTTTTTGTTCAAATAAATCTTTTGACATTTCATTTTTACCCCCCCAACAGCAATCCCCCGACCTGAGGACCGAGGCCTTAGAGTGGCTGTGTTGGCTTCAGTGGTGAGTGGCATTGTCATCCTCGCCATGTCCCTGTCCTTCCTCATCTGCTGCCTGCAGGAACGATCCAGTCGGGACCGAGCCAAGAAGGAGGGACGGAGCAGGTACGGCTGGAGAGAGCGGTGCCCTCAATACCCCCTGTTTTCAAACCCCCCCGGTGTATGAGGACTACTTAGCTGATAAGACTTTCTCCATTTTAGACGCAGAGAGAAGCGCTCGGCCCGTCGCAGCGAGTGTTGGCTGGAGAGAGAAGAGGGTGAGTGGGAATCTTTCCCCCCTCCCAAGATCTTCCATCTCTCCCAGAGGATGAACCCCCGGCTGGCTCCTGACAGCCCCCTCTACCTGACTGGAGGACTCGGTGGATATGAGAACAGAGGATACCAGAGGTAAACATCATAGAGAACCAAATATGTCATGGAGGTTGGCACTTTGTGTTGAGAAATGTAGTAAAAATAGACCAATGCTGAACAGCTGTGCAGCCCACTGTTATCCTAAACACATTTGACATTTATTGCTAAAAATCTTGATAATGCGATGCCTGTTTGGTGCACCACCTATACCAACTGCTTAAATCCATCCAGTTTAGTAAGTTTCATTAATAAATACCATGATAGGTGTTGCAGCTTTGACAAAAACAAAAGATAAAGAAGGTTTTGGCCTTTAAACATCATCAGAGCAAATGGATGACACAAGCTGATCCGTCACCTTATAATGGGACCAAATAGAGAACACCTGTGCTTATGTCATGGAAGTACACATGGGATATGCAGTCCAATACATTTCCATTGTAAACCCCTGACGTATAGATTAACACAACATGTGAGCATAAAACAGGCAATCAGCATACCAATAAAACAAGAAACAATAGATAAAGAAATACTGGATAGATTCCAGGAAAACCATCAGAAAATGGGGCCTGGATAACCCTCATACACACCAACACACTCAACCTACACCATGTTTGAAAGGTGAAATGGGTGTTCAGTAACAGCTCCAGATCCATGTTCATGGCTTATTGCATCAGCAGTTTGAGAACTCGTGCCTCCTCTACTGTGATTGGTCGCTTTGTGAAATGTTAGACTGACAAGTGCAGAACCTCAAAGCTACCTTGAGCTGACTGAAATGTTGTCAACAAATCCCTTGAAAAGCAGAAAGCACTGAATTGATCTTACTAGCAAGTATTGCCTGTGAAGCCAAAGCCTGATATATCTGTCACTGGCTGACAGGTTCCTCCACTACCATGAACACACTATAGTTTTGAGTCAGCCCCCCACACACTGTACTGCTGACACTCAGTAGCACATCAGAAGTGCATGAATCCACCGCTGATAATAGCCCCGAAAAAAAGTTTTCTATGAAACTACGTATTTGACACAAGATTTACGTCTTCAGTGGGAGCCGATGAGCCAAGGCAACAGATGTATTGAACGTTGAACTGAAACTGAAATATTGTTAGTTTTTGGCCTTTTCATAGTTTTGTTGACAATAAAAAACAATATAGAATGACACCAGTCATATCCTTTCACATGGTGTATGCGTAGGACTCATTGTAGAAAATATATGCTGGTGGTTCCAGGAGGCTGATGCACTCTGATACTATTGAAAACTATGTTAAAGAAGACAGTGGAACCACTTACTCAAATTATTTTCTATATAAGTTACAACTTTGGGTCTTACTTTCTCACCCCTAATTTCTTGCTCTCTTGCTCTGTCTTTCATACAGGAGTCAGGAGAGCTTGCTGAAGGCCTCCATGCCTGGGCTGTACCGCTCCGACTCTCAGCTTTACCCACACGTCGTGCTGCAGAGGGTCCCAACTCCGACTGCACCCTCCGCCCCATCCGCTCCGTCCGCCCCCCTCTACCTCCACCTCCCTTCCTCCTCCTCCGCTGCCTCCTCGCCCGCCCACAGCCAGCCTCACATCATGGCGCAGTATCCCACCCCGACGTACCCGCCAAACCCCAACACAGCTGTGCCCGCCTACCCACACCCGACACCGGCGCCTATCTACCCCAACCCCAACCCGACACCACAGCGGCCATGGCAGTAGCGACCTCTTCCACTTTCTCTGTTCTAAAGCAGACATGAAAAAAAGGTGTAAAAATGGAGATGCAGCCAGTGTAGAAGTTCCCCCTTTGTGCTGCATGCTTGCTGAACTCGTCCTGCATTTTGGACTCAACAGGAACACAGATTTTCTTTTTCCTTAATTCTTACTGAACTGCTGCTGCACTTTCTGCAAGAGGAGTTCTCTGGAGGAGGTCTTGCATTCTTTTAGCCGTCGGAAATTATGAGAAAGCTTCAAGTAGCCCGTCGACAAGGGAACGCAGGAAGCTTTTATTTAAGGAGTGACGTTCATGAAAGAATAACCTGCAATAAAGGATCATAAAAGACTTTGACTGTGGCTGCCACTGTTCAGGCAGCTCAAACCTCTCAGCAGTGTTCATTTTTTTAATAGTTTATTGTTATGAAAAGGATCCCTATCAGCCTTCCTGAGGTCCACATACTCTAATCTAGACAGATATATATATATATATATATATATTATATATTTTTTTTTTTTTTTTTTT